TTCAATCACCTGCTTAAAAGTAAACTCAATGATAGTATAGGGAATCTGTCTGTCCACTATCACTCAATGCATGCCAACACATGGAACATAAGTGGTTTCCTCTCTTGTCCAATTCTTGGCACTCACTGTTGATGATAAGCATGTTTCCAGAGAAAAGAGAACTGAGAGTATCTGGATACCCTTTATAAGTGTTTTGTTGTCACACCTAATAAATTTTAGTGATATTGATCCAAATTAAGTAAAGCTAAACAGAGAAGCAAACTTTACCCCATTCTAATACTACCTTGTATTTGTGGAGAAAGAAAGGGGGGAGTTGGAAAGGAGAAGATAATGAAGGGTACTAAAAGCCAAACTTTCAAACTACCCAAATAACAAGTAATTCTGGTAGAATTAAAACTTATGCTGAGGAAATTGTGTGGCTTGTGTTTTCTGTAATGCACTGAGGCACTGTCCTCTTACTACACTGACCTCCAGACATGACTGGCTATGCAAGGGATATAATGTCCCTTATACCTGATTTAGTATCAGATCTAGAAATTTTGCTGCGCTAGGAATACAGTTCCTCTAGGAAGAAGTCTGTCCTTGCCTCCCAGTGCTCCTACTCGGCAGTGAGATTATGCATCATATCTTCTTCCATGCTGTATCTAAAGGGCAAGTGTCAGAAATACTAAACTCCTCCTAAGTCATTAGAATCTCCTTTTAAATTTGTCATTTTCCTGGTGCACAGGACAGGATGTAAAGCAGTTAACCACAGTTTCTTTATTTACTATATGCTACTAAATTTTATGTTTTCTATGCAGTCATTAACAGGTTCTAAATTCATATGACAGCTAATAATAAAACTCCCCTCCTGCTAATTCTGAAAGTCCTACTGAATAGCATATAGCTTTCTGTATTTCTCTACCTTCAATTCTAAGCACTAGAACTTACTTTTAATGAAGATATCACTCATTTTTTTCAGTTACATCCTAAACAGCAAAAGTTAGTTTTATTCTTTTATTTAGCCAGTGAGAGATGCATTTCAAATACTTGCCCGTCTAGGTAATGTAGTAAAAGTTCAGGTTTCAGCAAATTTATTTATGAACATTCTTCAATACCTCTGTACTTTAAATCTTCTGGTGTAAATGGAGGCGGCTTTCAAATGCAGATGAATTTTGGTGCTTTCAGCGTGGACAGAATGGCCTGATTCTACTTTTTCCGATTCTGCCTCTGCTATACCCACTGTTCCCACTGTGCTACAGTCATTTTACAAGCATATGCATGCTCCATGCTTTAAATAAAAAAAAAATTTAAAAAAAAAAGCCCCTGTTTCTTACAGGTATAGAAAGGCCCATACTGTCTTATAACCCAAACGAAAAGAAGGAAAGCAAGCAAAACAAAATTCACTTAATCTGTTCATTTTTTTGGTACTGATTCCACTGGACCGGTATAGCACAGTATGAGGAAGCTAGTCCACATGGACATATATAAACTTTGAAGTTGTCTTCAGTCATGTCTTTCAAACATTTCATCAGTACAGAGATGTAGTACTGTCCAATGCAAAATAAGTGCATTTTCATCTGTAACAATCACTACATAGTAGCATAAGCATCTTTCTTCACGTGTCTTGTTATACACCGTTGAGAAAGAACTGATATATAGTTTTCTCATAAGAGTAAATACATGATATTGTGAGAAACAGAAAGGTTGTTTTTTGTTTTTTTGTTTTGCTTTGTGTTACCGTCAATTAATCATTATTTTCTTATATCAAATATTTGCAAATCTAACACTGACCAGAGTGGCTGTCACTGTGGAATCGTTTTTATAAACATGGACATAACTGAAACATACAGACATACAAAGAACTATTTATGTAGTACCAGAAAGATTCTGTAACCAATCCTTTTGCAGTGGGTGTAAGGAAAGTACACTGGCTTTGTTTCAAAGGTCAGCTTTTACTGATGTTGGCTGTAGTTCATCTTAATGACTGCTAAACACAAATGTTTTGTCTCACACAGATCTGAAGCAAAAAAATTAAAATTGTAAGGTTGGACCCCGTAATCACATTGAAACTATGAAACTACAGGAAAACAGTCATCCATTAAAATTACAGTATGTTAGTTACTCCTTGGTGACAGAAGATTATACAATTTGTAGCTCCTGTACACAATCACAACTGTATTTGCAAAAAATAAAACCCCAAATTTTCTGTAGCCATTAGATATATATACTGGAAGATTTTATCATCATGATTGTTTTTTCTTATACTAATTTTTCCAGGAAAGAGACTGACATGCACTAATAACTTTTACTTAGCAAAAGCAACATTGAACTGGAAAGGAAACACACACTTCTATGAAAAATTCTGCCACTGACTGTCTGTCTTCTTGCTCTCTTATGCTTAAAGCATTGAAAATTAGGTTACAAGTAATAATAATAATCCTACACAAAGAAAAAAAAGCTCTGAGTTTAATGTAGTCATCATCATGGAAGCACTGCTGAAGAATATAGTTAAACAAATTTGTTCAAAGTTTTTTGTTTTTTGTTTTTTTTTTAATTTACCTATTACATTTCCTGCCTGAAGTAAATTATTTCTTCTGTTACTGCTTGCAAAATTGCACAGAAGTCAGCTACAAGATCAGGCAAACAACATCAAGGGACAGATCTAAGTTGAGAAAACTCAAAGATATAATTTTTTATTATGAACATAATTTACAACCAACAGTGAGGCAGACTGCGCTCAGTTCCTTAAATAGTCCTAGTATATACATCAAATATTTCAGGATGAAAATAAAAAAACTCTTGAGGAGAAGATACCGCAATTTCTGGAGCTCTGCTTTCTATCTTCCCCAAGCAAGGCAGCAAAATGGTCCTGGTCCTACCCACTGTTCAAAGCACACTGTTGCTTGCTATCAGTGGCTGTTTATGTTCTACTTCTTTTACTGGATCAGAACTTTTTTCCATCTACCTGTAAAAAATATTTTTACATCAAAAAACCAGATACATAGTCCTACAATACTGTTTTTTGCAAAAAAGTCCTGCAAAGTATTAAAGGTTCTAGGTTCCTCCTGGTCATACCTGCGTGAGAGATTTTTACTCATTTTTATAACCTGACAGGAGACTGATTATCTCAATAGTAAGAAAACTGCTCCAAAATTTTAACAGATGCAGCATTACAAAACACTGGGCAACCTAAACATTGTCCCACCTGCTTACACTGATGAAATATTGCAGCCCAGCTGATGCATACAGTGCAAGGTGCAATTTCTTAACAAAACCCTCCATGTATGTAGGAACATGGGGACTTTGCCATACATGAATAAATATGAAAAAACAGAGAACAGTAGGAAACTTGCACAGGTTGACATATACTGTGCAATGGACTGTGGACAACTCTCCTGCAGCAGGATACCTGATCAAGTCTATTTATTCCAGCAGCTCCAGTCTTAGATACAAAGAGAGTTCTTTGACCAACATGAGCTAGCCATGTGTCAAAACATTTGAGACGAGGCATGAAAGCTAACTTGCATGTGCTCTCTGGATCCATCCCAAGACTACTACAGATACTTTGTCAAAATTATGACTGAGAAACTTGCTCTGTTAGGCTTTTCTGCACCACAAAACAGGCCAGTGAGATAAATTCCCTACTAGTTTTTCCAATTTAAAAACTATCACCATGTAACTGCTACCAAAGATGGGTCTGAACTGTTGTTTGCATGCCTTGCGCTGCAGCATGCTGAGCGAGTAAAAATCAATGCTGATGCTGCTGCTTCAGTCAGATTAAATACTATAAATGTACTATAATGTGTATACAATGAAATGGCTGGAAGATTGGTTTCCAGTTTAATATGTATTATTGCACGTAAATTGAAATTTACATTAAAAATCTGCTTTGTCTATTCTTCCATACAGTACATTTTATATTTTAGCTGAAAAACATCTTTATATAGCATTTGCTGTTCGCCATTTGAGATTAATCTGGCACAACTTTTGAAAATAACAGATTTATTATCAGATTTTCATCACTGATCAGATGGTTTTTAACTTTAGGTCCCAACAATTCTCTTTGTGAGAATATAAGAATGTTCTTTCATAAAATAATTAAAACCACTGAGGACTTTTTTCAAGTAGTAAGAATATTAATTGGGGTCACCATCAAAATGTGATAACTGTAAAATATCTTGTTTTGCAGGTTAATGCTTCATAATTTTACAGAGCTTTTCAACTTCAAAGCTCTTTACATAAATTAAGTTGATGTCCCTGAAGGCCTTAAGCAAAATTTTCTTTGCCTTCAAAAAATATATAGGCACCAGATGAAAGCCTTGTGAAAAATTTAAGACTGAGCTTTGTTGGTTTAATCTATCGCCATCGCATGTGAGATAAAATATTCCTACCATTTTGCAGATGGAGCAACGGAAATTGGAGAGGGGGGAACCTAATGGGACCAACCCTGTTCATCTGAAAACTCTGTACTTCACCTTGGCTGTGGCACAACTGAGTGGCTGAGAAACAAAATGCAAGATAATTCAGGTTTTGAGAGCCATGTCAGCATACCTGTCCATTTATTTACTTCCCCATCAAAGATCAAGCTGCCTGAAAGTCTGAGGATTACCTCCTCTCCTTATTACACTGCTCCACACACAAAGCTTTAGATCAAGCAGTCAGCAGTCAGGCAGAGAAAAAAATGCATCTGCTAGAATTCAGTCAAAACTTGTTATCTGGTACTCCACTTTGCTTCATCAAATCACATTTGAAAAGGTACTTGTTAAAAACAGGAAGTTTCCCACAACCCAGGAGCAATGATTATTCTCTTATGTCAGATTGAAATCTATCATGAACCATCACTCAATTTTTTCAAACTGAACTTTCTTTTCACTGTCTTTTAAATTACACTACACAAACAAAACTGAAATACATGTTTGCAACCTATAATTTAAAGCATAAATATTCTTTTCAGCATCCTTTGCCATAACAACATTTTTTTGTGAGTACAAGATCAACAAGTGTTCCTCTGTACTTACCATGTGATTTTTATGCCACTTCACTTGGGTCGTTTTATTGCTCAAGTAGAAAGTGCTCATTACCTATTTATCTTTAAATATAGGAAAAGAGAGAGTTGTTTCCAGTGGCATACATCACACTGTTGTTGTAGTTGATTTCCTCAGGATGGTTTTCTGGGGTTTTGGTGCAGTTTGTGGACGCACAGTTGCAGGTCTTGGAGGAGGGAAGCTATTACTGGGACTTAACCCCAACCCTCCATTTTCCAGAGGAAATGCAGGCAGTGGAGGTGGTGGAGGCGGCAGAGGAGGGCACTGGTGCGGCAGCTTTCCCATAGCACGCACAGGGTCACTGTGCAAATGCACCTCCCTGTTTTTAATGTTATACCGAACATCACAATCAGGGCAATAGCCGTGGTACTGTACTTTTTCACTAAATCGTACCCGTTCCCTTGCTCCAGGCTGAGGACATCGCTCTTTCTCAGGTCTGTGCATCAGAGGCTGCATTGCAACTTTCTCCAAATTACTGCCTGGTGTACAGCATATATCTCCATTTGGGATGCGGCTGGGCCCAACTGGCAAGCCCCCATTTCGCAGCAGGGTGCCATTAGTCTTGACGGGGTTGGCCGAAGGAGGCAGCCTGGGAGGCTTGTCACACTTAACGGGTGTCAGTCGTGGTGGAGGAGGAGGCGGATTTGGCTTCCTCAGCACAGTAAGGATAGCGGAGGGGTGTGCAGGAGGCTTGATGAGTGGTGTGCTGCCCCGCAGCTTGACTTTCTCCAAGCTAGAAGCTGTTGTGCTGCTGGAGCTGCTGTTGAGCGTGTCCGTTTTGGAACTGTCTGTCATCTCATCCTCCAGCTGCAGGTCAGACGTCAGAGTGTCAATCTGGTCAACCACCTGCACAACAGCCAGAGAAAAAATGGTGAGAAAAGCTTGCCCAGGAAAGCCACAGGAAAACAAAAGCACACTCCACTACCAGTTTGGTCCTTCTCGGAACAGAAGCGGCCACATTTTTTTTGACCATTGTTTCTTTTTTCTTCCCAACATAATAAAATAAAAACAAAACCAAATACATGAATGGGGCTGGACAGTTTGCTAGTTCACCACCTGAATACAAAAGAAAGATAATGTTAAAATCTCTGGAATGAAATTCCATTTCTTTCCCTCTAGGGTTTACTTGGCAATATCATTGTAAGTGAACTGTAATTCTTCAGTATTATGCTTTGCCTTCCAGTCCCAGGGGAGACTGAATTATTTAACTTTAGCTTCTACATGACAGCTTCTGAATCCAAATCTTTTGCAGAGTACCTTTTAGCTCTCACCTTTCACACAGTCTGTATTTAAATATACATGTCCATATAGGTGATCTTTTGCACCTACAATTTTGTTTGGTACACTCTTTCTTTACAAATTTTTATCATAAATATGGCATTGAGAAGCAACTTCTCTCTTGCATTAGACTGCATTACCTCCCTTTACAAAATCCTGAAATAGCACTTGCTTCAAGAAAATAGAAAAAGTAGCTTGGTTTTCAAAGTTACAAGCATTTTATTAACTCATGCACTTTGTATCAAGATTTCCTCTACCTCCCATATTCCCATTTGTAGTTTCTACAATGTTAGATCTCTTCTAGTCTTTCGGACTCCTTTTTCTACTCAGTTTTTTATAGGATATGCAACTGATGGTGGCTTTACTGGGTAGCAGAAATTTGCAGTGCAACAATTACAAGCCCTTCCTGAAAAGTGCATTTCACTCAGTACCTATGGAACACTATACACACCACAGGAAGTAAGCATACATTTAAAAAGTGATTTTTATCCTTTATGTCCTCACAGGGATATACATAAAGTAATCAGTAGCTGAAAAGTTACTAGCTAACTTTGGTGCATGAATAAAAACCTTGTGCCATTGCTTAGGGATCTTACGGGAGATCTGTGACGTTCTGGAGGGAGAACTGGAAAGGCTGGTTACCTGAGTAGATCTGAAATGAAACTAGATGCCTCCAGTTGTGCAACTGAGTCAATCGTTACACTTCCAAGACTTTCATTTCTACTTCCTGCTTTCAATAATTTGATCGTAACACTACTGATTTCTAAGAAAGCTGTTTTTTTCAGGAGTATAAGCCATATGTTAACTGAAAAAAAAAAGTGAAAGTAGTTACTGAAGGCAGCAACTCTATTCAGTCAAACTAGTAACTCACTTATGTGATAAAACGTAAGCAAAATCACCACAGAATTAAAAAGCACTTTAGCTTTCACTACTCATACTACAGTAAGAGTTGTGTAATACAAAATTCACAAAAACTCATATTCAAAAATCCAGTTTATTGCCTTCCTTCTCCCAAAACCAGCAAATGTTGCAGATAATCACGATTCAGAAAGAGAGCTTTCACACATCTCTGAAAAAAATCTCCAATACTTTTTCTATTCAAGACCAAACCAACTACTTATTTATTCACTATTCAAAGCCCAGTATTATGTTGCATTTCAGTTTCTATTTTAGCATTTTAATTTTTCTCTGATAAAGAAAAATTATACCCTTAAATGACAGATATTAATTCCTCCAAATAATAACCATTTTAATTATTAGTCTAGAAGTTGAAACGTACAGTTGAACTCTGGTAACTATCAGATCCCAAACAGCTCCTCCAGGGTAGAGTACAAGTAACCTTGGCAGATAAATCACATCTTTACTAAGACAATGCAAAATTCATAGCAAGAACAAGAGCTTACAGGAGAAAGAATGCACAATATCACCTTACTTTATCATGTAAAGTAAGGTTGTTGTTATGGCTAACCAAGGTAGCAAGACCTTCTCAAAATGAAACAGTGAATCTAAAGGAACAAAGAAAAGACACTCATGTTCTGGGCAATAAGCCTGAAATTCAAGCACCCCTCTGCAAGTTTTATGTGGATTTGTTTAAATATTAGGGTCTGCCTACATATGGCCTATATATACTATCGATGCCTCACCTGAAATACAATATATAATCTTTTAATGAACTATAATAAGTATAGAACGTATTGATGCATCATAACCCAAAGAAACTCCTTGGCATGCAAAGAAACAAAAAAATTGCCATTAAACATCTCCAGGCAAGACAAAAAGGAAACATATCTGTAAGAATACTACATATAGGAGCACTGGATAGCTTGTACAAATGTCAGTACGTTGGTCTATGTTACAGTATTAAATAATACTAGGTGATAATATTTGGTTGATTCACACTGTGTAATAAGAGCTATATTAAAATGACAAGAATAAAAAATAGTTTCTTTTGCAGTTGGTTCATTGCCACAAAACCTATTTTTAATTTTTCTTAATTTTCTACCATGAATGTCCCCTCATACAAGGCCTTAGATATTAACATAGCACAAGTGAGAAAAAAGGCAGCCATGGCCCACTGATATGGTTACTGTACAACTCGCTATGGATAAATCTAATGGAGATCATCCAAATAATATGCTAAATCCTCCTTACATTAGTAAAATTCACTCACAATTTCAAATACCAAATTCCAATAAAGAAGAAAATAAAATAACAAAAATGCATTTTAATGTTTTTTTTAAACCATGGACAGAATTCTCATCCCTTTCTGTCTTTTTTATTTTTATTTTTTCTGCAGAACCATTCACAAATGATGGCTTCTTTGCTTTAGGCCTCATGTACAATAAAAATCATCCTTGTTCCACACTGCACAAAACAGACATACTCCGTACAATGTAATTCTAGAGAAACAACATTTTATTTTGAAAGGGATAGACTGAAGGTTCTGAGAAAATGCAGCTATAATTATGTAGCACGTGTGTCATAAAATGGCAGCAGACCTTGGTGGTGAGAAAATTAGCATCCATTCAAACTGTCCTTCAGACAGTGCAAAAATGTTCCAAGAGTAACAGGAAAGTCTTTTATTAACTGTCCTTGAATTTAAATGATTACAGAGTTTATCTCTTGCCCTTTGTGAAATGTGTAGTACACATCAGAATTTTTTGTCACTTACTCATTTGTAAAACATAAAACCAGCATGAAATGGCTCTGACATATTAAGTTTATTTGTCCAGATTCATTCCCACCACCAGTTTTGATTTTGTTTGCTGTTATAACAGAGAACTGGCGACTAACACGGGGAAACTGATGTAGTTAAAAAAAAAAAAAAGTGTGTTTAAAAAATAGCTTCAATTTCACAATATGGAAATGCTATGTAAGAGAGAGAATATTAAGAAACAAAAACACTGCTCCAGTTGTACAGAATCTGTCCATTTTTCAGTTCCGGAATATAACAGGATTTGATTCACATGCACAGGCATGGGGGAGACATCCTTTTATAGCCTGAGGAGCTATTTAGCCATTAACCGGATTTGAGCTTTGCACAGATGCCTACTTCTCTCCTGCCAGCAATATCCTGAGGCTTCAAACTCTGTAGGATCCGGTGTGACACTCCTGCGTAAATCAGGATATCAGCTCATTCCTGCCTCCTTTCTGGGTCATTACTGGACAACAGTATTAGGTGCACAGTGGCGATAGAGTTGTATTTCTCTAGCTGAACCAAGTAATTATTCAAAGTCTGTTAACACATGTACAGACCCAAAATATTTTCTCTTGGAATCTAAATAACTCAAGAAATCAAATCTCTTCTTACAGCATCACCCTAGTCTTAGGAATATGTGTGACGCTTTCACGTTTGTTTGTTTGTTTGTTTATTATTTGCTAAGTAATCAGGGGTACTTCCCTCTTACCAGCAAAATCCAGACCTTTAGACAATGCTATAGATATCTGAGACGTTTTACAGACAAGCAAAATAACACATTTTTCTCTACTTCGAGAGCTTTCACATTTGGATTGGACACAGAAAACTAAAGAATGAGAAGAAAATTATGACAAAAGGAAAATTATTATCTGTGGTTAAATCTGATATTTGTGCTTAATTTTATTAAATAATTTTCATGTTAATTTTCTGCTAAATAAAGGCTACAACTAGTATCCACCAAAGAAGAAAAAATGAAAACAAACAAATAAATATGAATGGCTAAAAGCTCAGCAAAAACTGTATGTCTCTTTGTCAAGTCAAAACTCCACACTCCAGAGAGAACACAAATGAAATTAAGTCCCTCCCCACAGGAGGGTTATATCTTTTGCATGTGCCACAGCTAAATTCACTAGACTCCCCTCCCCTCCTTTGTCCCTTTCACGGCAAGGAGAAATGGAACCTAATTCAGACTAGGAATATGTTTACAAAGTTGTGTGAGCCAAAAAATTGCAAAAAGAAAACAAAAGAAGGGCTATACTAGGAGACACAAATGGCCTACTTAGAACAATATTGTGAAGAATTACAAAAAGCAGGTGCCCAGGCAAAAATACAAGAATAGGAAAGTCATGCAGAAATATTACTGTAGAACCTTATCCCAGCCTCAAATGACTTCTAACTCAAGGACTCATCAGACTTCGCATTAAGTAGATCTTGACATATTAATCTACCATGAACATGCCTATTTTTGCTTGAACCCATATAAGCTTTCAGCATCCAGAATATCCTGCAGTTTCCCACCTTTATTATATGATATACCACCTACTCCACTTTCAGCTTGGAAAAAAAAGCAGAAGCTTTTAAAGACTAAGTGCTTCATGGACTTCTAAAGCCACAGCTATCAGCTATGCAAGCCATCTCAGTCTTCACATTTGTGTGTTTGCTTTTTACTCAAATACATGATAAATGTCTATAGCACAAAGAATAACGTTACCTATGGAAATGAAGACTCAAATAGCTGACTAGATTCAGGAGTTCTTCTGCCATAACTAGGAACTTATATATACAGTGTATCCAGCAGCATATTCATAGCTGAAGCTTTATTAATAAATAATCATGTCTATTTATGCTAAGATATTCTAGCACAGCATGG